TTTCCCTACTTCAGCAAACTTATTTCTTCTGTCCTGAGTGCTGCTGGCCAGCAGGTATCCTCCCCAGCCCTCGATGTTTCCCGATCCTCTCTCTGTGATTTCACGCTCTGTGAGGACATACAGACCCAATGGACCCAGTCACAGGCTGAAATGGGGCATCAGGCAGGCACCTGCCCAAATTCCCCACTGCTTCATCCCTGCCATCGTGACAGGTTCAACTTATTTCTTCTGTCCTGAGTGCTGCTGGCCAGCAGGTATCCTCCCCAGCCCTCGATGTTTCCCGATCCTCTCTCTGTGATTTCACGCTCTGTGAGGACATACAGACCCAATGGACCCAGTCACAGGCTGAAATGGGGCATCAGGCAGGCACCTGCCCAAATTCCCCACTGCTTCATCCCTGCCATCGTGACAGGTTCATTTGATAGGTGAGGAGCAAGTCAGCATCTTCCTCCCCTCCCTGATAACCTCACACCACAGACAGGGTCGCATCCAGCCCTGCAGAAATCCTCCCCTCTGTAGGGTTTCTGTGGTACCAACCTCCTTGTCTCCAGGCAGCTCATGCCCCCCATCCTGGGGGGCTGCGGGGACCTGCCAGGGGTGGTGGGTGCCCCTGGAGGGGCATTTGTCTGCACTGAAATGCCTCGGCCGTGGAAAGAGCAACAGGGAGGCTTTTGTTCTGCACCAGAAAGTTTTCATCCTTCTTTATGGCTCTTTTTTTATTTCTTTTGGCTGCACTCTTGCAAATCTGAAGCAGATTAAAATACAGTTTCCCCCCCCCAGACACTCTAAAAAAAAAAAAAAAAACCAACAAAAAAAACCCAACCCCAAAGCTTGGCTGCTTAAAATCATCGGATTTCAGTGAAGTCTTTTAAAGTTAACAGTTTCCTGGATCTTGTGCATGCTAACTTATTTTTTCCCTCTAACCTCTGTGTTTTTTGCCGTAACATTTCTCAGCTGTTGCAGCAGGAGGGAGGGAGGATCAGGGTAGCTCTGATGTGGAGAAGGTTATTTCACACAGGGACTGGATGAATCTGGTGTGGAACTCTCTGGACTTGCACTGTAGGGGACCAAAGTGTTGTCCCCGTGAGGGTGAGCCCCCACAGTATGGCTGGCAGGTAGGTCGCAGCTGTATCGGTGACATCCTTTTGGGGCAAAATATTAGGGAAATGGTACCGTTAGAAGAAGAAAGTAGGATGCTGTGGGTGGGATGGAACTCCATTTCTACTGACCGTTTGTTGGCTGGGGGCTGTGGTGCTTTGTAGCTGGTCATGGGGACCGGTGGAAGAGCTGCATGGCTCCAGCTGGACACAACTGTAAGGAGTTTTTCTGGCTCGATGAAATTTGCCGCCCTAAATGCAGACTGGATCTTCTTTATCTGCCGTCTCTGCTTTTTGCACTTTTTTTTGGCGGCATCTCCTCGTGGGAGAGCTGAACCAAAGGCCCCAGCTCTGGTAAGAAGAGTGTCACAAGTTAAAGGACTTGTAAAGGAAAGAAAAATGTCCGGTACTGGTTGGTTTTGTTGCCTCTTCTCCAAGAGTGGTCTCTCCTTCCTTGCAAAAAATCACCCGAAGCTTTCCCAGATGGAGGACGTTTGACTTTCTCTTGGGTGGTTGAGGAGCCGGAGCCTGCCAACCTTGGCCAATGCCAGCGACTATCAACACAAGCCCAAGGCAAGCGGGGATGGTCAGAGCCTTGTCCTCCAGCTGAAACATCCTCTGTCACATGAGCGTGACCAAGGGGAGAGTCCCTGAACCGTCTAAAATCCCTTTGACCCAACAAACGGCGCGGAGATGCAAACCAAACCCAACCCTACACAGCAACGCTAAGCTGTGCATTAACTCTGCTGGAGCTGGGAACAAAGGTTTGGGGGCTGGTTTTGGCTTTTTTAAATTTATTTGCAAAGCAAAACAGCTTGGCTGAGCAGAGCAAGCATTGGTGGAGAAGTGTGAGCTGCCTGGTGGTTGCTGTGCTATAAAATCACATCCCCACCAGTGCTTGCAGGGGGGTGTGCCGGCTCTCCAAGCTCTTGTAGCATTTCCACGTTGGCCGGGAGAGTTTCTGAACATGCGTGTTGGTCTCTGGAGGCTTTAATCAAATCCAGGCTTTACCAGAAATCGCCTCGAAACTTCCACCGAGCCAAAGAAATCGAAAGCAGCCGGAGCGAGGAGGCTCTCGGGCGGGCATTTGGCACCAGTGGAGATGATGCCTTTGGCGAGGGGCGTGAGAAGGGTGCAGGTGAGGGGCTAGTGCTGGCGAAGCAGCCGGGATGAAAGGTGAGTCTGCTCCCTGTATAGCAGCCAGGGAGCACACAACGTATATATGAACAACACATATATGCTGGGAGGATAGAGGAAAGGCCATGGGGTTCAGCAAAAAAGGATTTTCAGGGGGAAAAGAAGATGCAGGAGCAAGGATGCTGCTCGGAGGAGTGGGACGTTCAGAGGATGCTTTGATTTTTGCAGCATCGCTCCCTGGCATGCTCGGGTTCGGGTCATGCGGTTTCACCCTGTCTTCTCACCCCGTGCAGAAATTGGGAGCCATGCAATTAATGCGCCGTTGAAAACTCCCCGATCTAGGGGAAGGTTTTGTTATCCCTTCGTAATTTTATTTGGGAAACGGGATCCAGACTTCAGGTAATTTCCCTGCTTGTTGTGCAATTTAATTGTGCGTCCAGCCCTCTCCCATGGGCAGAAAAGAAAACAAGGCATATTTTTTAACTTCCTTTTCTAAGCTGGGAGTGGGTGAACTTTATGCCTGGCCAGAGACGGTTATGATCATTCAAGGGTGAATGGCTCAGAGAGTGATTACGATGGAAAGGAATAACAAGCAGCAATAATAAATACATGCTTTGCAGCTAAGGGTTTCAAGTGTTAATGTGGGAGGGGGTGTTTTAGAGCAATGCAGAGACAGCAGCGAGGGGGTTTTTAGAGCAATACAGAGACATCGGGCTGGTTTTCCACCTGACTTCTGCAATACAGTCCGTGAGGGTGGTTGTAAAATATTAGTGTCCTATGCGATAAAACTGAAATCATGGGAGAGATCATATGCTGAAGTCGTTATCCCAGGCAGCTGCTTGTGGTTTAATTGGGTCTCTCAGAGGGGAGGGAGGTTTTGATCACGCGTCTGAGACATGGTACGTGGACAGCCAAAATTGCTGTATCCTTTTCGCTGCCTCTCGCGAGTGCTTCGGGGTTTTGCTGGGGGGAAGCAGCGTAGGGTTATACTGAGGAATAAAGCTGAAACCTGCAAAAATGCCCTTAAATCTCCCAGCCCGGATCTCACGTGGCAAAAACAAACCAAGGCTCTTTTATGGCCTCTGTAATTTCCAGCGGCACTGCCATATGGCATGGGAACGTCCTTGTCCTTTCCATCCTGCCTGGGATGCGCTGGGAGTGTGTTGAACCTGCGCCGGTTCATGTGCATGCTTGATGGTTTTGGAGGGGGGATTTCTACAGAATGAGGAATTGATCTTGGAAACCACAGGAGGGGAAGGGAAGAAAGACCTCCCTTGCTACAAGGCTTTCTGGCTGCTTTCAGTATTTTGGCCTAATTAATGAGGGTTTGGGGGCACTGGCTGCAGCTGGGGCTGCTTGGATGCAAATCCCTGCCGTCCATCTGATGCAGCATTTAACTTAAAGGATGATGTGTGCAAGGAAGAGGGGAAAATAGCTGGAGGAGAAGCTCACAGAGGGAGAAAATCCTAGCCCTGGCTGATCCACCCATGCTTTGTTTTCAGGGTTACTGAGCTGGGGGCTTGGTTTCGGGCAAGGATGCCTTTACCCTGGGGGTCAAGGAGCAAGAAGGCAGTGCTGCTGGCTGCCCTCTCCTTCCCCCCCCCACCTGCCTCTGGAGAGACCATTTGTCTCTGCCGAAGGACACCCCGTGCTGATGAAGGAGCCTCATGTCCCTGTGTTTTCTCCCTGTCTCCACAGCCTACCCATGAGCTCGGACTTCCAGCATTACAGTTTCAGGATGCCGAACATCGGGTTCCAGAACCTGCCTCTCAACATATACATTGTGGTTTTTGGCACAGCCATCTTCGTCTTCATCCTCAGTTTGCTCTTCTGTTGCTACTTGATCAGGTAAGGGACTTTTCCCCAGCTGATTTCAATAGCTGCCCTCATGCAGGCCGAGCCCAGCACTGATCCCTCCATCCTAAAACACGGATGGCATCACTGTGTCTTGCCAAACTGGTATGACCCATGGAAGAGGCTTAATTTTCCCTCAGCATCATGCTCAGCCCAACTTTTATCCCTCAGAGCCAATAGACCCAGAGCAACACAGTGAGTACCAAACGCTGTCTGCCCAACACATCTTGGAGCTAACAGACCCGCAGGGCAATTACATTATCCACTTTAAAAATAGGAGATATATTTATGTGTATGCTCAAGCGGGCATGAAAACATGGTTGGCTTCTCAAAAAGATTGGAAAGGGATGTTTTATGGTTCCTGCTTTCTGCTTAATGTTTCAACACGTTTTCCTCTTTAATGAGTAACTTGTGTACTGTGTGCTTAAGAAATGTTTAATACCTGCTCTGTTCGTTATTGTACACAAATTGCTCATTCAACAGCACAGTTTAGAGATTAATGATGCAGAGTTGATTTGTTAATCTGAACGATGGGGAGTGGGACGGAAGGGTTAAAGGTTGTTCTAGTTTGGGGCTTGTTTTAATTATTTTATGGGCCACTGGGGAGAGAGTTGGGCCACTAATTGAGAAGAGAAACTGTTCCAGCTGGAGGAAAAGCAAGAGGCAGGTGGGGAAAAACACAGTGCCTGGGAATCGAGGTGACAAAGCGGGCAAGTTGTGCTGATAACCCAGGATGCAGGTCTGGCTGTGCCCCTCCCTGCAGCTGGGAGCAGAGGGCATCGCTCTGTCAGCAGCGACTGCTGAAATCCTCTGTACCCAGAGCTCTCCTGCCAAGTTGCAGAAGAGCTTTTCCATCCCCTTTCCTTACCCTCTGGCTTTTTTGATGGCCCCAGCTCCCTGCTAGCTGTACATCCATCTCATCCCCTCCCTTCATCCCCATAAGACACACGCATGGTCTTCTTGCACCACAGAGGCAGCGTCTGGCTGGCTCACAGCAGCCAGTCCCACCGGACTTTCTATCCAGAGGGTGTTGAAAATGTTCTGTCCTGCTTTTGTAGACCAGGAAAGCAAATTTTCAATGTCACCGTCTAAATATTTGATAATTTCCACCTATTTTCAACTCTGTATGAAGCAAAGCCTTGTAAAACTTGCAGGTGAGCCCAAACCCAGGCTTACCCAGGGATGATTTGGGTGCCTGGGCATCAGATCTTCACTTTTTCCCACAACTATGCACAAGAAAAAGTTGTTTGTAGGTGCAATGCATCTGTCCACACCAGGAGAAACTGATTGAGGGGTCATCCCCGACCAGGCAATTCGTAACTTGACGTTAACAAGGTCTGTGCTGGGATATTGTGTCTGCATCCAGTGTTCCCATTTTAATTGGGATGCCAGTGGGAGGGGACACAAAAAAAATTGACAAATGGTGTTCAGAAGGCTCAAGGACATGTTTTGCCCAGATTGAGCTTGAATCTATATGGCTGGCTTGCAAAATGAAGAGGTGTTTGGACTTCCAGAGTATTTTCCTGGGCACCAGGTCTTGCTGGGTGTGTTCTGCCCCAAAGAAGAAATAACAAGTAGTAATGTCTGGAAGATCAAGCCAGAAAATCTTTAAATTTAGAAGTTGGAGGCATGTTGTAAGAGAGAGGGTGAGTAACTGTTTAAACAAGCCAGCAAGGGAAGTGGCAAGTCTTCCGTCTCTTCATGTCTTTAAATCAAGACAGAGCGCCTTTCTGGATCAGACGTTTTGGCTCCCATTCCCGGGAGTAACGAAGTGATATTTAATGACCTATGATAGATGGGAGGTTGGATTAGATCATCTAATGATCCCTTTATAGCCCTAAACTCTATAGAGACTCTATTAATTGCTCTTCAAACCACTGCCCCCAGCTCTGTTATTGGCAAAACAGAGCCAAACAAGTATCCTCCAGCCTCTGTTTTGGAGGGTTTCACTGTGCCACAGGTTTTGGCTGTGCCCATGTGGCCCAGGAGCACCCGCCTCCTTTGAAGTTGCTGCGTAATCTCAGTTTGGGGTAGAAAAGCTTGAGCTTTCGCATGGTTTGGAAAGCCTTGTAGATGGACAGCGGGATGAGGACCGTGTGCCTGCAAGTGCAGAACATCCCAAATGATTGCACTGGGAAGCGTTTGCCATGTCACTCCCCTTCAGTGCCATTTAACACCGAAGCATTGCTGGTGCCTGGCTGTGTAGCAAGCAAATACCCGTAGCCCTGCAGCAGGACGACTTGGTATACAAAGTAAGATATTGAATTTAAATTTACTTTTTCCCCATCCCAAACCAGCTGCTAAAGCCTCCTGGATTACCCTATGCATTCCTGACACCTTCTGCAATGAGATACATGGCTTTAATAGAGAATTACATCTGGAGGCTCTATAAAAGAGAGGTGTTAATTTAACAAGCAGATGCAGCGGGGATCACACCGTGTCGTTGCAGAGAAACCAACCCAGAACAGAGAGTTGCGAGGAAAGACAGTCCCCTTGGGACCTGCAGGGCTCCGCTTGCACCTGCGGGGGTTATTCGCAGGTAACAGTGGCTGGTGGCTTTCCCCAGGCCCTGCTTAGGTGCAGAGGCAACGCAGCCCATCCTCTCCCTCCTCTCTCATGGCTCACAGATCTGCAAATATTTGGCAAATAACAAGCAAAGCTCGTGACACTGTCCTCTGAGCCCTGGTTCTCGTCACCTGCTCCAGATCAGAGCATCCCACGCAGCCCTCCTCCGCATCCCCGGCTAGAGAGGCGTCCAGAGCATGGAAGAGCTAATATCTGGTGTATTTACCCCTAATCGCAGAGATGGCAGCATTAAATAAAGGATGCGCCAGGGCAGGAGGGCATGTGGACTGCAGTTCGCAACTGTGTCAATACAGAGTGTGCTGCCCGCTCCGGTGGGAGGAAGAAATGATGTTTTTCATCAGATTGGCTCAAAACGGCATCCCATAGGATTTTCAGCCAAAAGCAAAGCAAAGATCAACGTCGTCTACGTGCAGTCCAGACAAATCTTGAGCTCTGCTGCTGCTGCAAACCACACTGGTACAAGGCACAGGTCCCACCGGGTCCCACCCTCATAACTGCTGCCTCTGCTTGCAAAAATTAAAAAAAAAAAAAGAGGGAAGAAAAAGGAAATTAAATTTTGCAGGCAGCCATTTGTGTCTGATCTCTGCTGAATTAATGACAGTAATCACCTGATTTTGCCTTTGGTCCCCTAAAACCCAGTTCAGAAGGGCGCTGAACCGAGCGACACTGTGCTTTCCAAGCATTTGAATGGCGTGCACAGTCACCCTGGGTAAACACTGCCACATCCTCTCTACCTGTGCTTTGCTGCGGGTTGCATGGGGCTCATCTCTGCCCAGACCAGAGCAGCTCAAAGTCTACAGGAGGCACAGGGTACGTAGCCCTTAAAAAGCCCTTTTTTATGGGGCTCTTTCCTTCTGTGTTCAAACCTGCCAGGATCAAACACAGTGGTTGGGTTTGGAGAGCTCAAGGAGCCCGGCTGGTCTGGGGAGAGGGATACAGTGATGGGGCGAAGAGCCAGCACTGGTGCCTTTCTACTCTTTCTACTCTAAAGCAGCAAATAAGCAGGTCTTAGAGGCAAACCTGCAAAAACTAATTTCTTTTGCATTTTATTCCCCTAGTCATTCACTTGCTACACATGATTCAAAGACACCCAGAGAAATGGGGTGCTCCCTTTCCTGTGGGAGGTGTGGAAAGCTTGGGAAGAGATCACAAAATCCGTGAGAGGCGGTTATTAAATTCAGAGATGGGTGACAGAGTGCATGCACGCATGGTCTCCAGCCACGCACTGGCTTTTAAGACGCTGTGTGGTCCCTTATCTAAATCAGCCATCTGCCAGAAATTCCTCCGGAGTCGCAGCTCTTGACACGAGATGGATGAAGCCCTGGGTCTGACGGGGAATAACGCTTGCCAGGATCCGGGGTCTCGTTACGACAGCTGCGCTAGGTCCGACCGGGATCCATCTGGCCCAGGATCCTGGCTTTGAAAGGAAAGCGCAGAGGAGCAGACAGAGCTCACACGCTTCAGGACCAGATGTGCTCATACCGTTCCCCATAACCTTCAGGGAGGGATTTTTTTGTTTGGTAAAGTCCCCCCATATAACTCAGCGCCATCCTATGCTGTTGAGCATCCATGCTCCTCCAGCAGCTCAGAGCTGCAGGGATCCGTGGCCAGGTGGTCGCTTCTTCCCCATCGCCGGTCCAGATGCCAGCACCACGTCCACAGATGCTTGGGCTTGTTCAGCGTGACACCTTCCCTCTGGTGGCTTTGACTCATCGGGGCCGAAGCCTCGGCGGCTGCTCGGTGCTCCGTAAGACAGATGCTTTTTCCCATGCTGGAAGAGTTTCTCCCCTTGTATGCGGTCTCCAGCCACGCATCTTGCTTTGCCCCATCTGTGTTTCATAACCGGTTTCCCAGTCGCCGGGATCCCTGCAGATCAGGCCGGTTTCATCCTGTTTTCTCTATTGTTCGTTCATCTTCTGCTCGTTGTTTCTGCTCGGGGTTGTTGGTGGAGGGATGTGACCCCAGCTTTCTCCTTCCTGCCTGCTGCAGTTTTATCCGTGACTCTGCAGGCAGGTTCCCTGCCAGGCAGCATCACTAGAGGAGGAGGGATGGCTCCCTGCTAAATTCAGGGCTCATGAGCTGACATACTACAACCCCAAGCTCTCTCTGCAGCATTAAAGTGCATTTTTACCCATTCCTCGACTTTTAAGGAGCACGGTGTTTGGAGGGGGGGGGGTAGTGTTTTTGAACAAACAGGACAGAGATACGGTTTTACATCCTGTTTTTGTAACTCACCCACTTCAACCTTGCAGGACCAGAAAGCCTCTGAGAGCTTAGGGTGAAAGGGCCAGGCTTTGAGACAGCCCACAAAATATTTTTGGGGAAGTGAAATTACAGGCAAGGGGGTTTCCCATCTGAAATCACACTTGAGGCTGGCTGGGGAAAATATTCCTACGGCTGTGCAAGCCCTGCAGACACACTCTGACATCTTGTTAAAGTCCTTGGCCAACTCTTTAGCCTTGGTGACTTCCCTCTTGAGTTTTCAGAGCACTTCACTAAATGCCATGTCTTGTAATGAGAAGCAGTGTTAGTTATTTTTTTAAAAAACGTATTTATTATAGGAGCATAATCGGCTTCTCTGGCCAGGTGGTGCCTGCGGAGCGCTCCGCCAGGCTGTGGAAAATGGGCTGCTGCTTGTTCTGCTGTGGAAAGACCTTTTATTAATAATAGTTTGAACTGAAAACTATGGAGGGAGGTGATGTGTTTTTGTGTTTGCTGTTTCACTCGGTCCCCAGGAGTGGGGACAAATGCTCCCACCTGTACCTCCTGGAGAGGGGAGGCTGGAGAGGACCAGACTGGCCCTTTGCTTGTTGTCTCAAATTCTTGCTGCCACCAACTGGACTTCCCACTGCAGCAGGAGTTTTCTGGGATAGCTTCATCCCCTCCCTCTCCATCACTTGATTTAATCCAGGAATAGATGCTATTGGGGAAAAAAAATCCTCAAAAAACCCCCAAAATTGTGCTGAGCACAGTGCTTCAAAAGGTAGGTGGGGGGAAGCAGCTTATGGAGTTCATAATCCTGATTTTGCTTCACCATGGCTTTGGCTCCAGCCCTGGGGCAGGGAGTGCCCTGCATCATCATGTGGGCTTGTCACCCTGCACATTAACATAGCACACCCCCATCTGCTCTCCTGATAAAACCCCCTCAAAATCCCAAGATATAAGTTCATTCTCCCGCGTTTTTTGGCATCTTGTTATCTCTCTGGTTATTAAATTGCCCTCTGTGATAGGAGGCAAGATAGAAGACATCCCAGTGCTTCCCTTCCAAAGCTTTCTGCTTCGGTGTTGTCTTCGATTAAATAGCCATCCTTTGCTTGCTCAACCAGGTGGATGACTGCTTCTTGAATGCTTCCTCATGAGAGTTTGGGAGGGAGAAGCAGCACGGTTGATATTATAACTGAAGATAAAACTGTGTTCGAGGAACCCAGCATCGCCCAAGTGATGGGGGCTTCAGTGGGAAACCTCTGAGCTGAGAGGGCTAATTCCCTGTCCCCGACTGAACAGCAGCAGAACTTTCCCTGGGTCTGAATACCCATCTCCTGGAAAAAAGGTGCCACATCCAGTCTAGAAATTGTTGGCAGCAGAAGTGGTTGGAAACCAGCGCGTATTTATGGCAGGTCCTGATTTACTGAACAGCTTTTTCTGGTCTTAATGGTGCAGGTGATTTCTGCATGGAAAATTAGAGAGGTCAAAAGAGGAAAATGAAAGGAGGTCGTGCGTTTCTGGATGGAGGTGTTACCTCCCCAGCTACAGGGAAAGCTGGCTATTACTTAAATGTGTCATTTTGTGTAGCCATTCTTGTTTCTGAAATTAAAAATAATTTAAAAAAAAAGATGAAATCTGGAAAGGAGGGAAATGAAATGTTTGGGGTATTACAGTAAGACTGGTATTTTGGCCGGTATTCACATTTCTCCCTGTTTTGTTTGCAGGCTCAGACATCAAGCACACAAAGAACTTTACGCCTACAAACAGGTGAGGTGATACACAGTGAGTTGTCTTCTTCATCAGAGTAGTCACTTCTGCAGGTTTCCATTGTGGTGGTGTTCTCCTTGTGAGGCTTTTGGTCTTCAAAGAAAAGTTGTAGTGCCTAGGCCAACCTCTATCCCCGCTGATTTAATGTTTTCTTCTGCCAGCTGGGCACCCCAGGAGCATGTCTCACCCATTAGTCTGCAGGTCTCTGCATTTTCAGATGAGGTCCCTGAGAGGTGGGGACATCTCCACTCCTGGAGCACCTCAACCGGGCTAACAGTCCAAACGCTCACCTTATTTCCTGCTGGTGAGCAGTAATGCCATCACTTCCCCAGCAATCAAATGATGTTTGTGGTGTCCAAATCTGCTCCCTGCGTTGGACCCAGCTGCTCCGAACCACCCGCGGCCATGGGGCTCTCATAGGGACCTCTCATAGGGAACACCTCCATGTCACCTTGGCAAAACCATCTGTTTTCTGCATGCACCCGCACGTGCCAGTGCCCGTGTTAAAATAAACATGGCCAAGAGGTCGGTGTCAGGTTGCTGCTTCAACGTCCTGTTTTCTCCAGGGCTTGTGTAATTTTTTTGTTTCTCATCTGTTGTTTGAGCAGGAAACTGGGCGGAGTTGGGCTGATATGATATGATATGATAACATGTGGTCGTCCTAGATTTATAGCCCTCTCCAGGTGTTTAGCCTGGATGGAGTGAAAATGAAGTGGCAGACGTCCGTGCAGGAGCTTGTTGCAGGGTGTGGGAGCCCAGGAGGTTTAAATCTGGGAGGAGATCTGGATTTGGTCCTCGTGTTAGTGGTTATAGCTGCACCAGTGCTGCCTTCCTCCTGTTCCTGCACAGGGGTGAAGACCCCATGCGTTCCCTGGCTGTGCTGGGTTTACTGGGGCTTTCCAATTCTACTGGGACGCTAAACAGGATCTCTCCTTATGGAGATTTTTCCTGCAAACACACATGGCAGAAGCTGTGTCCTGACCCCGGGCGCTCTGTCTTACAGGTTATACTCAAGGAAAAGGTGAAGGAGCTGAACCTACACGAGGTGAGTACATCCCTGGGGCGGTAGCATAGCAGCTAAGACTCCCTCACCTTCCTCTTCCTTGAGATGGGGAAGGGGTGGGGAACATGCAAAGGCTGGCACAGGTAGGAGGATGCAAAAACTCAAATTGAACTCCTTCAGGAGCAAAACACACAGCTCGGTGTGCCCGGCATCGCTGCTCACTTACTGCCAGCAGCGGGGTTTGCTCTGCAGCCTCTTACCCCCTCGCAAGGAAGGCGGACGGGGTAGGTTACTGGCTACGCCATCTCTCCCCAGCACTTGCCTTTCTCTTTCAGAAAGCCTAATTGCTTGTTAATGCAGCCGGTAAAAGCACATCTCCAAAGGGGGTCTGTATTAAACCATCTCCCTCCTCCGCCTGGGTCCCCTTTTGCTTTTACTGCATCATTATTGTTTATTGCGTTGTTGTTGTTGTTATTATTATTATTATTGTTATTATTAGCATTAGCATTAACATTAGTATTAGCGTTATTAGCATTATTATTATTTATTGTATTATTATTAACTGCATTACTATTTTTATTTTTTACTGCATTATTATTATCACTGTGGTAAAAAACTGTGGATAAAAAGGGAGGCAGAGACAGGCTGGGCCATGTATAAACAGTGTCCCTTGACAGTTACGTCCCCTCCAGCCCCGCTCAGCCTTGCCACCGTCAGAGCATGACGATATCCAGCACATCTCTGCTGGCCACGTTACTTGGGCAGAGTAAACTCTGCTGGGATTTAATTGAAATCAAAGATAAACACGCTCCCCAGGCTTCTGCCCCTCACACTCATGCTTTGCAGAGAAGAGCTGGCTGGAAGAGGCAGGCAAAGGGGTGGCTGCTTGGATGTGTTAAGAATTGAAAACCCTTTTCCCAGCCACCTCAAAAAATGGTGGTTTCTTCTGGGATTTGGGAGGAGGGCAGAGCCCATGGCCGCCAAAAAGCAAAACCCCAGCAGACTTCGCATTTAAACTTTGCAGGGGAAATTGCGTCAGCATCTGCCCCATCCCCACGATGTGGGCGCAGAAGTGGCTTCTTGTTGGGTCCCTCTGCGTTAACAAGTTAAGAGGAGGCTGAAACATGGCTCAGAGTAATGATGTTACCCTAATCCACCTCAATCTACCTCCCCCTTGAGGTTTAAGGCCCATTAGTTGTTCTCCACAGGTTTCCAGGCTGTTTTGGGGGCTGAGTGTCCTATTTACAGACCATTCTTCATGCTGAGGTTAAGCAGGAATCTGCTCGAACCCTGCTTCAAACACAGGCTGGATTTATTTCCCCTAATGACAACAAAAATGCCCACCCGCATCCTGGACACGAGTCTACTCGTCTGTTAAATACCAGCTCCATTTGTTTATAAGCCTCTTTTTTTTTATTTTTTTTTGTCTTTTCATTATTCCCCAAATGAAGCAAAAAAAGCCCGTCCCACGTTTCATCCTCACCCTCCTCTCCCCACAGCCGAGGCCCTAAATCCCAAGGGCAGGACGGCAGCGGAGGGATGGAGCGGTCCTCGCTTGAGGCCCCTATTTCTGATGCACTCGCATTAAATTGACTTGCAGTGGGGTTTTTTTGCCAGCATGCATACTTAAAACCACTTCCCTGGGTGAGAAGCGCACTGCAGGAGGGATTTGGGAGTGCGCCAGAGCCGGGAATGGCAGCGATACCCCTCCGTCCTCCTCCTCCCTCACCTCTGTTTGCAGCTCTCACAGTGCAGACTCTTTTGGGGAAGACGAGGGGTCCATGGGGAAGGGGATAGAGCAGCTTCTAGTTCTTCCCTGGGGTTTGGGAATGTCTGGAAGGATTTTGCTCCAGCTCCTTCCAAAATATCCCTTTTTGGGCATTTGGATTGTGGTATTTACAGTAAGCTGCTCTGAAAAGCAGAGCATGGGGGGGGATTTTGCAACATCGTGGGGTGGCTGCCAGGTCTCGCCTGGAGCCTTCCAGAGGGGAAAGTCCCCACTGAGCTCTTCAGCCCTGTGTTTCTGGGTCTGTTTTTCCCCTTTTTTCCATCACGCCACCTCTCCTAGGCTTTTCATGGGCCTCAAGATGCGTGTGTTCCTTGGGGGCTGACCTGAGCAGCTACATCAACATTTGCTCGCTCAATAAAGTCGTGTCCGATGAGCTTTGGGTGGGTGGAAAGTATTGACGGGTGCAGCATTCCCAGGAAAGCCGGGAGCCTCCCGCGACACTTGCCAGCTGCCTGCCTCATCACAAGGGCTTTTGGCAGTGGGGCTGGACCTTGTTTCGGACTGCCGGAGACTCCCAGTGGGGGGGGTAGGGGAGGGAGGGACTGGGAAAGCCAGCTGGGAATATCCAAAATCCCCGGGAATATCCAAAATGGGTCAGGAAAAAACGGCAACATGGGGGGAGGAAATCTCGTCTGGGTCTCTCGCTCACTGGGAAAACAGCCACTAACCTTCCCATCCCAAGGGGAGAGATGCACCCTTTGCCTTTTCCTCTTCCCAGAGTTATCCCTGTGGATACAGCTCAGGTCCAGCGATTAAGCAGCAGTGTGGACCAGTCCCCCTGCACCCTAAAGCCTCCTGGCGTGTCAAAACACAGCCCAGCCTTGTGGCTGCTGCTCCAGGGATCCTCCAGGACCCCTCCACCAGGAAAGGGAGACCCAACCCTCAGCCTGTGATCCCAAAGCCTGGGCAGCAAAGTCTGGGAAGGCTTTAGGGCAGCAGTTTCACCCCTCTGTGATGCACAAACCTCCCAAACGTTTCTTCTGCAGCACCAGGGGGAAAGAAAAAAAAAAAACCAGCTTCTTGGTGAAAACAGAGGGTTTGTAGCGAAAGAGTAGTTTGCTTTCCCTTGGGTACAGGGAGGTATTTCTCTCCCCATGCCCAGTGTATCTTTGTTGGCATCAGAAGCCAAATTGCCCGTTTTTTCCCCAGCCAAAGGTAGGGGCAAGGCAGGGGAGAAGACGGAAACTGGCTGAGGGCATCACTTAGGGTGAGGGGTTTTTGGGTTTGGTTTGTTGGGGTTTTTTTGCTTCCCAGCAGCTGACTGCCTTCTCTCCATGCCTCTCATGTCTTTCAGATCTGCGCTGTTTGCTTGGAGGAGTTCAAGCCCAAGGATGAGCTGGGCATCTGTCCCTGTAAACATGCCTTCCACAGAAAGTAAGTGCAGGGAACAGGAGACTGTGGGCTGCCCCAAATCCTACCCAGTGAACCCCAGGGAGGCTCTTGGCATGAGGTCTGCTGGTGCTGCTGCTCCTTGCCCAGGGTTCCTTCCCACCCTAATTCCAGGGGAAGGAGGGGAATTGCAGCAAAAGCCCCTTATTGAATGAATTTGAGCATTTGGGGCAGCAAAGGTCCAGTCATGGGCTCGCAAAACCACTGCCCTTTTTATGCATACAGTCTTCATGTATTCCAAAATGTATATGTACATTTGTGTGTGTATATATATATTTACACTTATATATATATGCATAATTGAGATATATTTGTAAAATATATATATGTGAAACAAGCTCCCCAGCCAAGCGGTCACAGCCCAAAGCCTGTTGGTGTTCAAGAAGTGTTGGGACATCGCTCTTGGATATGGGGTTTAACTTGTAGCTTGCCCTGTGTTGAGTCCGAAGTTGGACTTCATGTTCCTCATGGGTCCTTTCCATCACAGGATAGTCTATGATTCTATGAAAAATGTGTATATAAAAATTTTAATATTTTTTTTCATAAAAATGTAAAAAGCTATGAATTTTGTAAGTATATGTATAGTATATATGTATGATGTAGATATACATTTTATATATTTATATATACCTTTTGGTGTACATATATATATTTTTGTGTATGTGTATACATTTTTGTATCTATTTATAAAATAGATCTATATAAAATACATTATATGAACACAAAAGTCCATGTGTATATACACACACACACAAAAATGTCCTAATACAATGTAAAAGCACCTAAATGGTGAATTAAAAATTCAGCAGCATCAGTGCTCCAGGGAGGGTGACAACGGTGGTGCTCAGCCCCCGGGCCGCGGCCCATTGCCCACCACGGAGGGACACACAGGGCACCGAGTCGGGGGGGGCTTTTTTTGCAGCACTCTTATAATGTCACATCCCCCGTCCACCCCGTGTCTGTGTCCCCCCCCACGCAGGTGCCTCATCAAGTGGCTGGAGGTGCGGAAAGTGTGCCCGCTCTGCAACATGCCGGTGCTGCAGCTGGCACAGCTGCACAGCAAGCAGGACCCCGGCCCCCCCCAGGGCCCCCTCCCCGGCGCGGAGAACATCGTATAGCTCCACCGCCCCAGGGACTGCCCCGACGTTGGGGGGGCCCCACCGCCCGCCCCGGGGACTCAGAGACAACCAAAGCACTTCGGCACCAGCACGGAGGGACAGGGGAGGACGCAGGCGGCCGGGTGCGGAGCCCGGAGCACTTTATAGGGGGAACACATCCCCGCCAGCCGAAGCAGAACAGCCCCGCGCCCCAAAAACCTGCCTCAGTGGAGCTGTGCCAGGATGAAGGGTCTCACGCTTGAGCCCAGGCTTGATTCCTCTCCCAGGGCGAGGAGGGGACGTGGGATCCTCCATGGGTGCCCTGCATGACATCCTTCTTCCAGCACATACCTTCTCCAGCACCATGTCCACCGGGAAGCAATATGGGGCACGACAGAGCAGTATCGAGCCCCCTGACGGTGCCCATCAGCCTCCTGCCAAGGCCGTGACGTCCCCCGGACACCCCGGTACGCTTCCTGACCCTGCTGGCCCCTGTGCCCCTCTGCCGCCATCGAAAACGATACCCAAAATACAGCGGGGGCACCTGGAGCGTCGCAGCTGGTCCCTGCCCCCTTCTCCTCTTCGCTGTTATTTTCACAGGGTTACCTTTGCCTTTGTGATCCCTACTGAGAAAATTGGGTCTCAGCACCCTGGGCACAGCGACGCCGGTGTTCATGCTGCGGTTGGGTGCCTCCTCGGCACCCACTGCTCCTCCAAAAGGGCTAACCAGGGCGGGGAAGCTGGTGTCGCCCACGGGAGACGGCAGGGTGGTAGCGGCGTGGGGCCTCGTGGGCTTAGGTTACCCCACTCACCCCCCTTCTCGGCGTGATGTGCTACCTCAGCGGGGCCGTTAGTCCCTCAACGGGCACGATCCTGGCGTAACCCATCTGCGCTGAGAGCCAGTGGCCACCACCATCTCCTCGAAACGGCGGCATGGGCTTGCTGGGGCGGTGGGGATGGCAAAAAATCCTGTCCTTTGGGTTCATCCCATCACTTTCAGCCTGGCCCCGGGGGTTTCTGGCCAAGAGAGGGGTGAGCTGGCAGTGTTTTGCCGTGCCAAAATAACCCCAAACCATCATCAAGTGCAAAAGCTGCTGGAGGGGGTGGGGGGGAGCTGTGCCACCCCCTCTCCTCTCTGACCACCTTATGGGGCAAATTTGGGCAACGTAGCAAACGCCCTGGCGTCCCCTCCATCTTGCCAACTCTTTTCCCCTTTTTTTTTTTTTGGTAGGGGGGGAATGATGACATCACAGGGGGGGTCAGTATTACACAGCGGTGGCATTCCCAGCTCCCCCCCCCCGGCACAGGCTGGGGTGTGGGGCTGGGAAGGCTCCGGGTGTCATCCCCCCTCCTGTAAATACCCTGCGACTCCTGAGACTGTTTATGGAGCGTGGAGCCTCATAGACGTGTTTGTACACTACAAATTCTGCAGCAGAATATTTTTTAAAACATTCGCTGTTTTGTTTTGGTTTTTTTTTTTTGTAAGCTATATTTTTGTATATTTAATTGCTATTTTAAAATTCTAATAATGCGTCTTTTTTGCTAATCACACTATTCTTAAGGAAAAATGAGGAAAGGAAAAAAAAAAAACCAACAACGGTTTGCATGTGATTTGACTTGAAATGTAAATAAAAGCCGGTTTTGGAAGCGAGGGTGTGTTTGCGGGAGGGGGGGAGACCTGGGAGACCCCAGCCATGTTAAAGGGAGCATCCCTCGTTGCTCAGCCCTGTGTCACCCCAGAGATGTCCCCAGTGGGGCTGGGACCTGCTGTGCCCTGTCTGGCCCCAGCCCTTTCTTGGGGGGGAGCCTGAAAAATGGGCTGGTTTGGGGCTGGGGATGTTCACGTTGTCTATGTCTCCTTGGCCCAGAGCAGAGCTTTGCTCCCGGTCATGGATTAAGGAAATCCCCCTCCCCCCCCCGCCGTCAGGGCAGGCTCGCTGCCCCACGCGCCCTGGAAATCCCCGGCCAAGGGGGATTTTGCAGGTCCTGGGCCCAGTGTGGGCTGCCCCACTCGGGAAGAGGAGGTTTCTCCTCCAAACAACCTTCCCTGCCCAGACCCTGGCCCGTGGACAGGGGCTAATGGAGGAGCTCAGCTCTCAGCCTCCACACTATGGGATTTCCTGGGGTCCTGCGCGAAACCCCATCTCCTGCTCACCTCATTTCACTGCTGCTCCTCCTCCAGGCTTCATGAGATGAGTGGAAAATCCTCTTTTCCTCCTCAGATCTCTGCTCTCCACCCCACTTATACCTGTCCCCATTTGGGTTGCTTAACTGGGGCCATCCCAGGATGCGATCCCTGCAGAAACCTGGTGCAAAGGAAGCAGGGCTCCCACCTTGCTATCCCCTGTCCTGCTGTCCCACCATCCCTGCCCAGCGCGGCAGGCTGCTGCCCTCTAGTGCTGGCTGCACCCCCAGAGCTGGGTGCTGGGGCAGGTCCCACCTGGAGATGTTCTGCTTCACCTTCTCCAGAAGGAAACACAAGGAATGACCTTCTTGCTGCCCTCTGAGTCATCTTCTGGAAGCTCCGGACAGTCACGGTCATGAAGAGCTCGCTGGGTGAAGTTTCCCGCTGGTGAGACAAAGCAGCAGAGGGTCTGGCCAAGCCACAGTCTGGATCTGGATCCAGCATCAAAATGCACGAAACACAATTTTTGTTATTTCCACCCCACAGTTCCTGCTCTGGAGAGATCCTTGCTTTCACCTCCAGTCCAACCTGTATCATCCATACATTGAAGGCCAAAAGGGCCACCAAAGCACCGATCATCACCTAGCACGGAAGTCTTTCATCAAACCCTAAAAAGCTGCAATTTGCCCCGGAACGATGCTAGAAACCTCCCTCACTGGACTTACCGGTGCTGGGAGCCTGCTGCTGCTAACAGAGGCGCCTGATCCCCCTCAGAAAGCCTCGGGGCTCCAAAGCCCAGCTGCAAAATTAAGCTCAGACCCAACCCCAGTCCCACACAAATCCACCTTCTCCGGGAAGGGCAGAGCCCTGCTCGCGTTGGGGTTTCAGTCAAACCTGGTTTAGAGCCCCATTTTTAAGGTACCCAGTTAAGAACTGCCCGCAGCATCACTCAGGCAGCAACCGAGCATCTGGAAGGCATTCTCTCACTACAAGCAACAGCCAAACATTGATTTTTCTTTTTTTCCCCCTCCATTAACGTGCTTTGCAATGCAATTTCCAGAGAGCAGAACACACGCAGGGAGTGAAAAGCAATTAAAGATGGCTGACAGTTATTGTTAATAAGCTGCTAATATCAACTGAAAGGGATGGACTCGTTTACACCCATTTCACCGGCGTGTTCGTGACAACTGCTCAGATCAATGTTCATCCCTTTGCTCTGTAGTGAGGAAGAGCGAGACAAGAAGCAAACGAGTTTCAAGTATATAAAAATAACTGTAATATTTTATTACAAGATGAAAAGAAAAAAACAATTTACAAAAAAATACACACAATACATCAGGGACTTTGGTGTTGGACATCAGACCACACAGGATCTACTCAAAATCCACAGAAAAAAGGAGTTACACACACAAGCGCGCAGAACGAACACCGGGAAACCCGTGGGACGCTGCTCCCGGGGACGCCAGCCTGGCACCTTCTCCAGCGCCGCAGGGAAGGGACTTCTTGCAGACGGGGCTGCAGAGGCACTGCAGGGGCGTCCCGGATCTCCACAGCCTCCCTCTGCCTCACAAAACCACCTCACCCTAGCTTCTTCCTCCCGCCAGTCTTCAGCTCCCAAAGGCTACTGCTATTAAAAAAAAAAAAAAACAAACTAGCCCCTCTTCTGTGCGTTAGGAGGACTCGGAGGAGATTTCTATATACCCTCCCACACTGACGTGCTCTGTGTAAAATCTAATAATTAGATTTCGGGACTAATTAAACCCAATAAGCCCACACCAGCCCAGCATATCACTGAAGTATTACACCAAGGAGCACTTGCAGGTCCTGGGCAGAAGGAGATTTCAGAAAGCCAAAGTGTGTTCCTCTTTCTTTTCCACGAGTCAAACCGGGGCCTGAGTTTTGACTGTGCGGGTGGGTGATCTGGCTGAAACGGCAGCCAGTGACATGCTGTGTATTACATTGTATGTGGTAGAGAAAGAGTTGAGTTGTTTTTAACACACCAACTTGGGGTATCTTTCATGCGATTTCACAAGAAATGAAGAATTAAGTGGTCTCCGATGCAATAGATCCCAAACAGGTTGTCCAGAGAAGGTGCGGGTGCCCCATCCCTAAAAACATTCAAGGTCAGGTTGGAGGGGGCTCTGAGCAACCTGATCTAGTGGAAGATGTCCCTGTCCCTGGCAGTAGGTTGGACTAGATGGTCTTTGAAGGCCCTTTCCGCCTCAAACCACACTATGACTCTATTATCCCCCTCATCCCCCTCACCTCTACAAGTAACACGTTACATCGCATGCAGAGCGGGATACGAAACCTGCACTATACTGAAGGAAAAGCACAAAAATTTTCTTCTGCTGACAGCACGCGGCAGAGATTACCTTTCACACACACACTATTCTTCCCCCTCCTCCCCCCCATTTTTTTTTTTTTTGCAGTTCCCAAATTACTGGATGCATTCAGGAAGTTCCAGGACCTCAATGAACTGAAGTTTAGAAAACGCCTTGCTTGACACTGTGCCTGCTGCCCGGGACACTCACCCTGCAGAGCTGACAGGGCACGCTTTCATAGAAATATCACGCAAGATCTAATCCAGCAAAGAGTACGTCTTCCAAAATTCGTAGTTTCTTCCCATTTCAGGCCCAAAAGAGAGGCAGATACCATGCAATGAACCCAGCGAGCTGTGGAACACCTTGCGACTGTTCTCGGATCTCAGGCTGCAGCAACAGGTAGAGCCAGACCCGATTTGCTGTGCTGCTACTGCACCTCTACTGCGCGTTCCTGCGGCCAAACTGCAATCTGCCAAACCGGCCTGGGCTGCCCAGCGCTGCGATTAGGCATCAAAACATGCATGGGGATCAGAGAGCTGAAAAGCAACTTATCTGAAAGGAAACCGTGACTTTAAAAGAAACCGTGACTTTAAAAGACGAGTTCGAGTCAGGATGACGGTCGTTCCAACGTCCTGGGATAAACCCCAAGAAGCCATCTGCACTTGGGTTTGATGGAAGAGCACTTCACCCTGCTGGTGGAAGGACGGCTTCTACACACAGCTGAGCTGCTCAGCTGGAAAGGCAGAGCACCGAAATGCAGAGAATGCTCTGAAGGGGTATCTCCATTTAGCTGACATCATCAAGGGAAGGTGCAGATGGCTCTTCAGAAAAGCAGGTTTTTCCCACTCCCCGGCTGGAGCGCAGTTACACCGAAATAACCGATGCTGGTAACGCGGCAAAGAGCATGCGACACCTGTCTCACTAAAGATCTTGTTCATTTCATAACGCAAGACCCAAGCCTGGGAAGAACTTCTGCAAAGAGCAGGGCAAAGCAGAGACAGGAGGAAGGAAGGTCAGATTACAAACCGTATGTGTGCGGCTTCTCTTTTTTTAAACTGCTGTCCGCTACCAGCATCTCTGTTGTTTTGAGAGATCATTTATTCGGAGTGCAATGAGCCATTTCTAAATCCACATCCTGAGGTCTTTAGGGGTTCCAAACTGCAGCGACCCAGTTTGCAGGCTGTCTGCAAGACCGCATGCACAGAGAAAACAGAGAAGCGTACAGCATGCATACGGGAAGGAGAGGTTTCCCCCAGAAACTACTAGTTTAGCAGTTAATAAACATAAAATGCAACATTACAGAGAAGATCCCGAGTGTATGACTGAAAGAAGAAGTAATCTCTTTGGTATCATTATATGCAGCCAAGTTTTACAACAGAGAAAAGAAACCCCAACCAAAAACCCTACGATTTCACCTTCAAATTTACTTTTAGCAGATCTCTGGGTCAGAGGCTGCCGGACACCCCTAGGGCCGTGCCAGCACTACAGCATACACCAAAAGGTTACTGTGGTCTGCACAGAAGTGTTACAGGCTGAAACCAGATCAGCCTGAGCAGATCAGGGGTACCCAAGACACGGGATCCGTGCCTTACCTTTTGTCTCTGATAATCTGTATACATAGATAAGAAACTGCGGTAACAGAAGTAAAGCCTCACTGATAGCACAAGGGTGTTCGACAGGCCACTGCGCGGGTCAGAGGAGACAGAAGTGGTCTGTAGGGTTTCTACATGCCACGGCTGTGCTGACGTTCTTTCTCCTTTACAGACAATTTACAGCGTAACGCGAACGCGATGCCTTTCATTTGCGGAACATAAGACGCTGCAGCTGAACTCTATAAAGTGTGAACTGGGTAGATATTCAGCACTCAAAGGAATCTTGATGGAGGGAATAGAGTGAAAGCCTTCTATTATGTCACCACCATTAAACATACGTAGAAGACTACATAAAAAGGGCTATTTGGTGTCAGCAACTAAATGCCCCAGAGATGTTCCAGATAAAACCGCCACCTTCAGTCAGCGTATTTGCATATATGCTCCTTTTGAACAAACCTGTGTTATAATTGAAGATGTATTTCTGTCTGTAAACAGTTGAAACCAAACAGTCCTTTCCTTTTCTCATTAGGTCACGCACAATTAGCTTAACAGTCACTGAACAGATGCTTTGAAGCGCAAGGTGGGCTTAGCGACCCAGGAAGCGCCCTGACTTCGTAGGTCCAATGTGCAGGACCTGCACGGAGTCAGGCTGAATCCAGGAGTTCCAGAAGAGCACCGACTGCACCGAAATAACCCTGAAGAGCAAACAGACAGGAGTATCTATCAAAAACTCAAACGTGGCCACACACCTGAGACAAAACCAATAACACTACACGTACGGTGTAATTTTAACAACTTATAAAGGAGAGTGGAAAGAAGTAACTATAGTTAGGTACATTACAAAATAGATTCTAACTATAATCATTGTATCGCAAAGCAGAGCTGCACTGAATCATCTACACTGTCAATGGTCTTAAAAGAAAAGTTCACAAGCAAGATGAAATTGGTAGTAGACAATTCTGGTATTAGCTACTGGAACAATATACATGTTTTTTCTGACCCTACACTGGGCATGGCAGTAACTGTGGCTGCAGTAACAAAGCACTGGGAACCTGCTGCAGAGCGTGTATCACCAACAGCTACAGACCCCACACGGCTGTTTCACGAAGGATTTGAATTTTGGCACGAGAAAGTAAATTTAAAAAGTAATTTCACCTCATGTTCCAAGAAAAGTGCTTTTAACTGTCCCTTCGACCAGTAGTCCAAAGCATATGCCAGAAGCCTCATTGAGATTGTATTGATCCGAAGGAAATTGCCAACAAACACCACTCGATTGATGTTCTGCAAGTAATAAGAGAAAAATAAACGGAACATTAAAGGCTGAATTCCATTTTCCATCTGCAATGATGAAACCCCCACCTTAGAGCAAGAAGAAAAAAGTTACACTTATAGTGCCTTTTAAAAATGCCACACACAGCTCTTCAAATACACTTTCCAGTGAGACTTGATGAAAAACAACCAGCTGAAAGCAGAGGGAAATCACCAGTCAACGTTAAAGCAACCAGGTCCAGAGAAACTTCATCATCCCAAATAGCTGTTCTGTCAGTTAAGGAGCATAACTACCTTGGTAAATGGGGATGGGAGCTGCAGAGAGAAGAGTTACAATGCATTTGCAGCTTTCTGAATTTGGAATTTTAAAACTGGACCAATCAGAGTCGATCTGCAAGCAAGAGATGACACCGAGTCGGCTTGGGGTCTGGAAGCAGCAAGAGGCAGTTCAAAAGAGCAAGGCGTTGAGATGGTGAGGAACTGCATCGGGAGGGGCCAGAGGCTACACCCAAACACACACACAAAAAAGAACCAAGTAAATGCTGAAAGCATGAGGCAGGATCTGCATAACATTATAAACATCCACAGTTCTATCAGAAAGCCATACCAGCCAGGTCACGTTAAGACACAGGCTCTTCTTCAGACTCTTCCAGACTACCCGTATAACACAGGTATAACTACAGCCTTTCTAACTTGGCAATCTGATTTTTTGCTATGAGATCCTTATACTGGCTAGGAGCACTGATCATCAAGTGCCATCTCCCCTCTCTCCCCCCGAACTCCGGCCTTTGAGGCATCATTAAAAAAGCTGAATGGCTCTCTGCTGTAAATCGGGGGGGGAGGGAATTTAGAAACCCGTAACTAACATAATTCTGAAAGGAAAAGACCAACCAAGTAGTGATGTTTTGGATTTAAATCAGACTTCCAGCCCAACTTTTCAATCTCAAAATAGTTCTCCTGAGCCAAGTGATGAAGTCTGAAGCTTTCTTGTTCTCCAACAAGAAACTAATTTTCAGTTCTTCCTCTTACTGAGGAATCAGGATCAAGTCCTATCTGCTACTTCACTCGCATCCTTCTATGGATTTCCCTTCCGTCCCCACATTCATTAACGCTTTCCCCTAACTACTCAGCATCTTCTCTGCGTTCAGCTGTGTACTCTAGAGTAAGGAGACTCAGCAGATGTATGGTGGGCAAGACTGTTTATAGTATGTCTTGCTTAGTTTCAGCAGTAAATGAAGGTAAAGAGTGAGCATTTGCCAACAGCAACAGGAGTCAGGAGGATGCCTCACCCCGTTAGCTCATCCCACAGGAACAGGCTCAGAATGGAGTGGAGAGCATGTCTCTGCTCTTTCATAGCCCTGTACAATGCTGCTTGACATGAATGCAACAAGGCAGCACTGTAAAGAAGCTGAAAGCACAAAGATACAGGAACGGCCGTGGAAGTGGTGGGGTCTGACCAAGACATCGAGAGCAACTTGTAAAAACAACAGAGGAAAGGCATCCAGCCTCCACGCCCCTCCACCCCACCTTTCCTTCTCTCTCAGCGGTTCCAAGAGCTGTAGTTGATCATACACCTTCTGTTCCTCAAACCACCGCAGACAAGCTGTTCAACTCCTGACCAAGCAGAAGACCTAATGAGACCAACAGCCAATTCCTAATTCATTCACAGCTCAATGATCTGGCTCAAAACTACACAAACGAGCAAGGACAAAATCTACTGAAGAAACCAAAACGAGCAGATTACAACTTACTGACCATCCAAAAAGACGAGTATAAACGCGCATCTACAGAAGTGTATGCAGGGAACGAGAGATTTTGCGTGACAGCAGCACACACGTGATGCTTCAGACAGGAAGCAATGAAAGAGACTTCCCCTTAATACCTCATTAAGTGCACACATCCGTGCTATGGAGCCAATGTTATTAGTGATGGTTATTAAAGTAGCCTTCGCGAGGTCCTCTTTGCTGACAGATTCCCGCTTCTCCTTGCTCATCATGTTTCCAAAGCTGTAAAGACAGTTTTCGGGTTAAAGGTTCATTTGCATCAGAATTCCAGGAGAAAATGGGAACTGCTAATTTAACGGAAGTGATTAATCTTCAAGTATTTCTTTCTAACTTTAAAAAGCATTGCTATCAGTAATTTAGATCTGGTAAAACAGAACAACAAAAGGAACGGTAGCTCTCCTAAGAGACGTAAATCCAGTTTTCTATCCTTGCAGAATTTCCCATGAATATAAAAATCAGCCAAGTCATTACCTGGATGCTACAGCCCAGCCTGGCAATCCGAATCGCTCGTAGTCTCCTCCATAAATGTCCCGCACTAGTTTGTCCACTTTGGTACTGTCTCCATGGGAAGCCATCTCTAGGGCCTCTTCAAAGGTGGAGCAACCGGTAAGAAGACAGCAGAGACCGAAAAAGGTTCCCCCTCCAAGGCTGCAACATAAAGCAAAATTAAAGTCACCTGTCTTGCTTCTAAAGAGACAGAGAAAGAAAATGGCTCGTTCCACTGAAAGCTTGGATTACTCAGCTATGCTCAGTTAGCTCAGGTTGCCCCATTCCTTCAGCTTCTTCTCCTTCCAGTGAGAGCAATCTTGGAAAAGCAGCAGTTTTCTTGAAATCTCTTACTTTCAAATAACTTACAGCCTGTAAGGAATCCCACACCCTCACAGTCTTCTGCAGAGGGCATGTTTCTAAATGACAAATTAATTTTCTTATTTTACAATATCCACCTTCCTCCCAGCAGTCAGAGAAGTCAATCTTAAAATAAAGATTAGTCCTGAGGGATAACTGGAGTATTAGGGCACAGCTGTTCAAAATTTAGAGGAAAAAACTTCATCCCTGTTCACTTTACTGTGCACACATGCCAATAATGATGTATAGTAAGAGTAAGGTTTGTTCTTGGGGGGCGGGGGGTGTGGTGTTTATTATTATTGCTAACTTTCAGGAAATGTAGGAAAGCTTAAAGCCACAGAGCTCTTTGGCTTTGTCTGGCAACAAGAGTCGCATCTTCAAGAAGGGTAGCTGCAGCAGTCCAGCAACTGTCTGGGGAATTACTACTGTGCCAGCATCCCTTCCACCAAAATAAGGTAACTTTTGGAAGTCAGGATGCAAATCTCTACCACTAGGATCAAAGCTAACAGTTGTTCAGATGATCCTGATGAGTATACTTGAAATGATCCCAAACTACAGGATCTCTCTCTGATGGCAAATAGAACAGTTTAGAAGCTGTGTTTTCAGTTGCCCTGCTGCAGGAATTAAATAAACTGGTTGCAGTAAGGAAACCAAAACATGAAATTCAGATTTTCTCTTTCAGGAAGGATCCCTGTTGGCAGAGATGAAGGACTGCAGTAAAAGCAAGAGCTCAGTCATTCAACTCACCAGCTTGCCCCTGAAAATGTCATCTACAATGAAGAAACACATTCCAGATTCTAAAACAAAACGCAAAGTGAATTTACCTCCTCCCGGCACTCACCTGGTACCCGTTACCCGTTTATAGTTTTCTTTTGAATACACAGCCAAAATGCTGACCCCTGAGCCAATGTTCACCAAGAGGAGAGGATACGGATTCTCCAGGTTGAATGGGAGCTTCTGACATCTTTCAGCATCCGTCGGGTTTTCAAAATAGTAGCACTCTGAATGTCCATTGAATCCAACTGAATCAATGTACAAAACTCCTTTAATAAGGCAATCGAGTTCATCTAGCTTACAAAGCTGAAGGTCACCCATCTGTCAGGAAAAAAAAAGAAAAAGAAGAATATTCAACAAGTAGCTAGGGATCTAATGTTTATGCTCAAGGCTAGAAAAATGCATTCACTGCAGGCTAAATTCAGCTAGCTCCATTACTCCCCGTGGTGGCTGAGAGAAGTACAGACCACAGGAGGGCTTCATCTTTCTCCATGCACATGGACTGCTAACTACTCCAGCCCTAAAGTGTGTAGACATGCAAGAGGGGGGGAATCAAACAACTGGATCCACAGATGGATGCCAAGGGAATCCCATCAACTTCCAAGGGTCTGATTTAGGCCCTGACTCTGAGGCATTAGCATGAAAAACAAAGAAAAATGAGAAGGGACTTAACTGTTGGACCGAAAAAAAACCCACAACAAAAAACCAACCCAGCCAAAAAACCACCCAGAAAACAGAGGAAGTTATGAAATTGTCACTGCCTCGACTGGGCAAAAAGCCTCCATGTTTGGTTCATTTTTTCAAGCCCTGGTTAAACAAAGTATTTATCACACATGTTTTTCACCTATGAACAAGACTCAAACTTACAATGAAGCCACACAATGTCAAATTCCAGCTACTAACCTCCTTTCAGTTAATTCACCACCAAATTTGACTGAACCTCAATCAGCTCACTCACATGCGTGTTAGAAATGAAACCACATGAGCAAAGGAACAATAAAACAAATATTAAGCATGTGAAAGACAGCAATGAGAAAGAAACCCACACGACTGAGATCAGCATAACCAGAGACTACTAATACAGAGAAAGTCTTGTAAGAGCACACGCCATGGAAGTTAGAGAATAATTTTAGAGTTACAGGGATGTTACATGCACTTTCAGGAAAGAAAGTATCCTAATTTGGAGATGCGAACTTGACTCCACATGCTGTTTCCTGAACCAAGTTTAATTTGAGTTAGGTACACTCTTCTAAAGCTAAGACTTAAAGAAGTTTTAGAGTCTGCAGAGAAAGGTTTCTAGTTTTCAGCCTTAAGAAAATTTCACTAACAGATCCTAATTGTATAGAAGCCAAAAATGCATACTGTGAGAAAGTCCTGCTCAAATTTGTACGCTCCACCTCCCGTGGCACATAAGGTAGTATGGAGGCTTGAGAAGTGTTTTTCGCTTCCCATTTGAATAAAAGCAGGCATGTCATGAGTAGGAAAGCGTATAAAGTGCAGATTGCCTTTACGTCCACACAGGGTAAGGTCCTTTAGTTCAAGGTGCACATCCCGAATGCCTGTAGATCCATAGGCTACGTTTGATGTCAGGTATTTGCGGATGCTTTTGAGATTTTCCACTTCTTCCTCTTCTTCTTCAGCAGTGATGTCCTTTGGTTCAAAATAAACAAGTTTGACCAAGGTCCCTCCGATATCCAAGCCAAACCAAGGAAAGACTAAAGAGAGGAGGAAAAAAAAAGAGAAAGAAAAAGAAACAGGGTATGAGACTGTCATACTACCAGCAAAATACTTATAAACTGAATTAATTCAGGCAATTCTCTAGGGACTCTGAGATGCAGGCTTGTTTGATCTATTCATTTCTAAAGTGGAAAACGCAAGAGTAAATGTTAGCAGTCTCATCTGTTTTGACAAGTGTGGCTGAGACTCCTCTGTACGTGGACTTCACTCCTGTTCTGAGATACGTCGTGTTCAGGAGCTCCCAACATTTGGTATGCAATCCTCAAAATACACACAGCACCATCACCACTGAAGGCACACACAGCGCAGGTCTGACAGTATCCATACATCAGCTAGATACTGCTGCAATTTTAATCCCCAGCTATTTCTTTTATAAAGTTCTGAGCCAGAGCCAAGGATAATACCAGTGCTTTCACATCAAAGGGATGTACAAACGTTAACTAATTACAACACATAACTGAGGTAGACAAGTAATCTAAGATGCCCCAGGGAGACAAAAACAAATGTCTAATTGGATTATTTTATTAGTCAAATTCCCCCATGGTACAAAATATGCATTAGTGTCAGGCCCAGCAACATTTACAGCTGTATTAGATAATGAGCTTCTTGGAAAAGATCAAGAGAAAACCCTGATCAGATGGAATCTGCGATTAGAGCCGAGAGCTGGAACAGATTAATATTACTATTAATGAGCTAAAGGATAGGCTAGAGCTAACAAGATACACGGGCTCCAGAGCAAAGAGAAAAATGTAGCCACATGTTATGGCTTACAGCAGCAGGATTCAACCCTTACGTTTTTTCCAAAAGGAAAAAAATAAACGCTTAGAAAATAAACCTGAATGCAGCATAGATGTTACTAACGTTCCTCTGGGAAGAAGGATCCCAGGTTTTAATAAAATTCTTACACGTCACAGACAGGAATGATAACATGCTACCGTTATTTTTGCAAAATATGTTTGCTTATCTGCAGACAGATAAGCATGCAACACAAAGAAGCCCTCGTTCCTACCGCCATTTGAAAGCGAGTGTCCTTCTGGTTAAACTTGGGGAAGCACCAGCCACCCCCAGAAAAGAGAACTGCCCAAGCAAGAGCATGTTCCTTGTCCCTTCGTCCAGGCAGCGCAGGAGTTGCACGCCGAGGTCCCGCCACTCGAACTGCAGGAGCACTAAGCAGAGAGCAATACCTAAATACCCAGAGGCAGCACTTAAGAAAGCTGAACAGCAAAGAAAACAACTCAGGGGTACAAGGGGAACTCACTCCCAGACCAAATGATCTTTAAAAAGCCACAAACCCGGCAGGCAAGCATGTTTGAAGACGATGTATTTTCTCCTTGGCAGGTTAACTTGGCTGCTGTACAGAGCAGAGGTAAAACAGGCCCTTTTAGAGCATCACAGTTCCCCAGGAGCTGCTAGAACCATCCGTTACCCACGTTATTTTTAAATCACCGAGTTATTTTTATATAGTTACATAGAGGCCACCCCCAAACATCACCAAAAGAAATCTTGAAAGAAGATGCAAGCTCTATTTTAGGAGGCACATCTACATCTCAATCATCTTCTATTTCTAATGCATTTACTTCAAACAAGAACAGACATAAAAATAACTGCTCATGAATGGGAGAGAGAGAAATCTGAATCACAGTCCAATGAAGAGAGAAAGCAGGAGCAATTCAAGGACTTTTTTTCATGACAATTTCTCATTCTGTACTCCAGAATTCAGAATTGCAAACTCTATCGGGATTTCAGGATGGAAAGTCGACCCCAAGCTTCACTTGGCATATGCGTCTTACTTCAAGACTCCCTCATAAAAACCTTACTATAGCTAAATTAAACAGTTAAGTTACTTCTCAAGAGAGGAATGTTGGCTAACTGGGCCTCATCGCATAACGTCAGGAGAACCATATCCCCAGGGACACCAGACCAGGAGGAACACCCTCATGGGAAGGAGAGTCCAAGACCCCAGAGCATAAGTGAAGGGAAAGGGAGGACAAACTTCAGGAGGTTTGCACGCCTAAAAGAAAGCCCCTTGTCGTGGAGGACTGTGGCAACAGCAGCTCAGCTGGCAAAAAGACATGACAGAGACCACGACCACGTCAACAGGGACATCGATGCTCTACTCTGCATGGCAGGCATCAGGGCAGCAAACACCAAGTGTCTGCTTGCTTCACTCACCTGCTCACCCTGACACCTTAAACCTAAAAACCTGTACGCAGGCCCACCTGATGCAATATTAAAGCCATCTCCAATATGGCATATACATCTGTAAGTCAGCAGTCCCCATATTAATGGCAGAATAGGACTCCCTTGAAGTGTTTTGTCTTTTCTTTAAATCAAAGTCCTAGACTTACCAACTAACTACCACAGCTTTGAACAAGGATCATGCCCTGCTATTGAGAGAAGCAGCAATACAAATACCATGAATGTCACACAGGTAAAAACAGGGCACTGGCAGCTAAACCAGTCTTCTGCTGCTGCTCCAGTCCCGCTGGGGACTGGAACTGGTAAACACCACTCTATTAAATACCCAGTTCATGTATAGGATCACTAAAACCAGTTCCCCCACACGCGCTGTACTATTCAATACTGCTTAAACTCTGTTGTAAAACTAGCAAGGTCTACAGAAGAAAAGGAAGAGGAAGAGGCTTCCCATGTTACTCAGCCAAGTCTTCTCCTGTCTGTTGTGGTCGCTAACATCTTGGACTCCCTTTTCACAAATTTCCCACTCTTAAAAGCACTCGGCTGCTTTACCATCTTTGCTCTGACAATGGAATTGGTTCCACAAAGCTCCTGTCCTCGTGCAGGGAAACCTCCTTTCTGATTTCTGGAATATATTTGTTCCTGTCAGGACATGCAAATTTTTTTCTGCATGATGAAGCCTACACTTTTTTTTAAGCATTCCCACCCTTGTATTTAGAGATAGCAATCCTTTCCCTAACTCACTTTGCCAGGCTATGCAAGGTTAAGAACAGAGAGAGCACAGGCTGGGGTCTTAGAGATGCCCTTGTTGGGATGCAGCAGAAAAGCATCCAAACACTAAGGCACGGTGCCTTGCTGAAGCCACATAACTGAAAATGCCATACGGGCTGCTTCATCACAAGCTAACGGGCTTCCACTTCAGAGCAGCCACTCAGCTGGTGGTACATGCACTTGTTCAGTAGAATAACACTAGTTCATTTTAAAGTTGGCCATGAAGTTCACCCACCAAACTCCTACATTCAGAGACACAAACCTTCCAGGTTTTAGGGCATAAGAATCACCAACTCGGTCCATCAGTTTAGGAAGCTTTCCTAGTGACAAAAAAAAGATAGCAGCTCCTTAGAAACTTCATCCCGGCTCACTCTTGGTGCCCTCAAGACCTTCTCTTTTTCATATCTATAAATTTACTTCTTATTCAGGTGTTGTTATAGCTGCCACTGAACTAGCAGAACATCAAGCGTGGGGTTAAACCACGCCAGTTATCCATGGCCGCACAGCTTGGTGTAAACTGCAGTCAGGTTGGGCTCAGGGTTTACTAGTTCTCACTCACCACTGACCCTGCTAAATCCCAGCTGGCCCCGAGAAGAGCATCCAACCATCCACACTGGGACACAGCCTCAGCTCGGAGCTGGCTTCACACATCTGTGCAGCACCAGCTGTGGGAAGCCTCTGCACGGAGCAGCTGGTGTTCTCAATCTGCCAACAGCTCAGCTACACCTTCAGTAACTCACCAGGGACAAATTCTAAAAGATAGCCTATTAAAGTAATTAACTTAAACCAAATGATTCTTAATTATGGATCTCTCATTATATACCTCCCAGCCACAGGTTAAGAATCCAAGGAAGAACTGTGCTAGCTCAAAATTAAGTACTTCTTTAACAACGTACTGTAAAGGATTTTCTATGCAGTAAAACCTGCACAGAGCACTCAAATTGGGACATGGGAAAAACTTCCCCTATAAACCCATTTTTGTAGGAAAGGGGTGTGGCACACACAAAAAAGAGGAGGACATTATTTCAACAACATGGAGGAATGCTTTTTTTTGTACGCTTACAGGAAGTCAGCCAACATGAACATGCAGGGCAGCAACAGCTCTTCCATATCTGAGAACTAGAAAAATCCGTGCCTTCAAAGGGAGGAAGGAGGAAGCTCTCTTGGATGAATGCCATCACCATCTGCTACTGAGATTTCTCTTAAAACACTGATTTTTCCCAGCATCTACCATGCAGCTGAAAGCCATCCAAAGATCTCTCCATTTTAAGCCTCTGAAGCATTTTTTTTCCCCGAGAGCTGCTGCAGAAGACGGCAGATCTAGAGCAGCGTGAGAACTGGTGGCATCCAGGAGCCTTTGGGCAGCCCAGAGGCTGATTTTTCTCAGTCAGAAGGTTCTGCTGAAATAACCAGTGCAAGAAGACACCAGCTTTAATGGCCAAGGCAGAAAATGCAAACGCTGCCTCTCTTCACCACCTCCCCGCTACTTGGAGCCCTCCGTGCTGGGAAGGAGCCTCGCGTGTCTGTCCTTTCCAAGCGCTCACCAGCCAGGGAATGATGAGCAGGATGAGAAACCCAGAGGCAGAGCACCTGAAGAGCATCACAGTGTGAACCTCTACACTCTCCTCTTGCTCAGCACCTGGGGCTGGGGACAGACATTTTGGTAGGGCTTGTTGCAACAGGACAAGGGGTAATGGTTTTAAACTGAAAGAGGGTAGATTTAGACTAGATAAAAGGAAAAAATTTTTTACAATGAGGGTGGTGAAACACTGGCACAGGTTGCCCAGAGAGGTGGTAGATGCCCCATCCCTAAAAACATTCAAGGTCAGGTTGGACGGGGCTCTGAGCAACACGATCTAGTTGAAGATGTCCCTGCTCATTGCAGGGGGTTGGACTAGATGACCTCTAAAGGTCCCTTCCAACCCAAACCGTGCTATGATTCTATGACCTTCCAGGAAGTGTTTAGTCTCTCCCTGGGTATTTGGACATTCACAAGAAAGGCAGGAAATCC